CATGTGGTCCGCCAGCATTCTCAGCACCATGGCTCCCTGCAGAGGAATAACAAAGTAGATCCCATTATAAACAGAAAAGAAAACATTACAGAAATAGAAACAAAGATAATCTGAAAGAAACCTTTCCAAGAAAATGTTTGACCCTCAGCAAAACAGAAGAGGATAAAGTAACTCTAAAGATACTGGACTATCCTCTGAGTTTCTATGCTGTTTAGAGCCTATAGTTAGGAGGTCTGCAGCAGACTGATGGAAAGCTCCCTCAAACACAATGACATAAAAATCCTATAGGAACGGTTAATCGTTCTAATGTATGTGTCCTTCTCTGTGATACTTTACCTTACAGTAACTTATAGCATCGAACATCCCAAGAATTTCACTAGGTTCCTTAAATTCTTCCGATTGACTGAGAGGATGGGATGTCTGCAGAGCATCATCCTCAAATGCCTTGTGGAGATCATTCATGATTGATATCTCTTTCTGTAAAACACAAAACAGTATTTAACGACACATTTATGCATTTAATTACGGTACTAGAGGAAAAAGTTTGCTGAATGAAAGATTTTTTTATACAGATGTACTTTGATTTAGGTATTCAAAAAAAAATTGACCAACGATTTATATCATCAAAGCTAAACTTTGTCAAGTTGATCAGTTCACAGACCTTAAATGAGATGCAAGTCAAGAACAAACATGCATTTTCAAAACAATAAGTATTTTTGTTTTTAGGAATAATAGCATTAAAAATGAAAATTCAGAAATATTTTTTTACTTTCACTGAGAGCTTCATGAGAGTATTCAAGCATGAAATCTGACCTTTAAAACATTACAGGTACTTAAGGTGATCAAGACAAGACTAAAGGTCAAATAGCTGTTTTTCTGGGTTTTTTTACCCTGAAAATTAGGTTAAAATAATTAAAAACACTTCTTATAGCCAATATCATCAAGGTTTCTTATTTACTAGGCAAGTTAAATTCAGGGATGACAAAATTCTTAACAAAGATTAAAAAGCAACCAAAAAACCCAATAATTTGATGTCTGAGATAGAAGATTAAATGGATACTCTATGTTTTTTTTCTCCTTTAAATGTAAATTGGTATAATAACTTCTGACATTGGAGCTATTAGGAATCAAACCTTAACTCACTATTTGAAATAATGGCTCAACTTGGTCCACTGCAAGGTAGGACATATAGGTGGCAAACCCTTCATTCAGC